CCCCCGTCGTTAATCTCTGTCTCAGTCTCCATTTTTTCTACTAGTGGATGTTTAAGGACCCGGGATTCCATTCCCAGCACCACAAAAAACAAAACAACACAAAACAAAACAACAGAACATGCACAGGTGCACACACACTTTATAAAAGTGCAGTTGTACTATTTTTACATTTTGGGGAGTTTTTTCATTTACTATATCATGGACAACATTTCATGTCAACATTGGATTTTAGAGATGTTAACTACCTAGAGATATATATTTTTTTTATTCTAGCAAAATTTCTTAATTTGTTTGACGTATTTGGGAAAGGAACTGGATTGGTTTGCCTTTAATTATAAAGAAAGGAATTGTGAAGCAAGTTATTTGTAAATTGTGTGGGGCGGAAGTTCGAGGGGTCAAATCTTGGGTCTCCTACATACTAAACAAGCTCTCTACCACTGAGCTCTAGGCCCAGCCCTATTTGTAAATAATATTACTAGTGAATGTGCAATTTTAGAAAATAAGTACTTCCATATTACTAATAAAGATAGTAAGAGAGAAGTCTCATTTACTTTAAAACTAAGGAAAACCTCAGAGGCCATCCTTCCCCACTGGCTGAACCAGCTTTGGGGGAAAGCTCAGCGCTCTTTCAGTGAGTCCACTCCTGCTCCCCAGGCGCTCCTGCCAGCTCCCAGAAGTGTGCCCTGCACACACAGGTGGGACTTAGGAGGAGCTGGAGAGGCTGCAGTGCAGAAACTTGAGTCGCTTCCAAAAGTGATCTCCATTAGTGATTTTTAACAGCCTTATTCAGTTTCTCTACTAGACTTGGAAGTATTCAAATCTATTTCTTGCCAGATATCTACCTCTCATGAATTCAGCAGGACCCCATCTCCCTGACCTGCCTCCCCTACTTTGTTATTTAACACTGATGTGGCCCTAAGTGCCAGTCCCTATTCTAAATGCCTTGTAGTTCTGGAATCATTTGATCCCTGTAGGAGCTAGTACACAGTCTACCTCCCGTTCTTGTGTTCATGTGTGCCCACGTGTGCATAGGGGCACCTGCATTTATTGGATGCCTGCTGTGTATGCTGTTTCCCTGCACTGTGTGGGTCTGTCTTCCCTGGCATCCAGTGAGTTAGCTATGATTCCAGGTAAGAGGTACAAATCCTAAAGCAGGGAGGAGCTCCCCGAGAGGAGCCTTTGCCCGCTCTTCCTCGTGCCTGGGTCTCAGGTGGATAGAGCTATTTCATCAGCCACATTGGGTCCGTGTCTTTCTTTGTAGGATTCCTCCAGCATTTTCTGGAAGCAAGACAGAACAGAAAACTGCTTACATAAAGGATATGATGAAAGAAGAAAGGATCCCCTGGAAGGTCAAACATGGAGTCCCAGGCCTCGGCACAGCCGTGGGCCCCGGGGGTGCGATGCAGTGTTCTGGGCCCTGACCCTGAGCGGCCAGGTTTGTCAGAGAAACGGTGCTCAGCTGCACCCACCCCGAGGCAGAGTGGTTCTGCTTGCCCTCCTTTTCTGTGCTCTGCAAGTCTGGGCTTTGCTCGGGCTAGTTTCTCCTTGTAGTCCAACAGTGGCTGCCCAAAGCTAGAGCCACAGGCTTCATTTACAGCCACCAAGACAAGACGTCCAGCTGTCCAGTGTCCTCAGCAAAATGTCCCTGAGGCTTCCCTCTGCCCAGAGAGTCTGGAGGCTGCCTCCTAACCTGAACCACCACGGCGGCTGAACACAGAAGACACTGGCCGCAGAGCCCAACTCTGGAGCTGGGGAGAGGCCCACATGGTGCGAACCTGTGGCTGACCCCAGAGGAAGCAGTGGTTTCCCAAAGGAAGTTTGAGGGTGTGCTCCCTGCGGCAGAGGGAAGGACAGAGGGGACAGATGCGGAATAGCACCGCCCTGTGAATGGGGCCTGGGACCCGCTTCACAAACCACCCCCAGGGCAGGGGGTTCTCTTTTCACTTTCTTGACGATGGAGTCCAACTTATTAAAGGTCTCTCTGTTGCCGGTGCCTGTGGTGTTGATGTGAGAAATGTCAGGCGATTCTTCCATGTCCTGCAGCTTACGGACCAGAGGTTCCTGAAGATAGCATTTATTTATTTTGTCATCATTTATTTTAAAAGTTTTGTGAGGCTGGGCCCTGGCTCTGCCCGGGCAACAAGGAAAGCTCTGTGCAAACTCCAGGGAGGACCTGCTGTCCCGCAGTTTACCAGGGGACGCCTCCTGCAAGCCAATGCTCAGAAACCAACAGGACTAGATTGTAAACTGGGAGGCATTTTATAAAGAAAAAGCACAGGGAGCCTCTCTCATACTGCTCAGGGAAGACTTCTCTGGGGAGGGCACATTGGAGCTGCCATGGGGTCGGGGAGGATGCCTTGGCCTGGGGAGTGGATGGGGGTACTCGTGCTAGTTTTTGTGGCCTGATGGACTGAAGTGACATTTTATATAAAAGACGTCTCATCAAAGGTGGATTCTTCAACACACACTTGGGATTCAGTTGGACGAGGCCTGTTATTATCCTGATGAAGAACTCTTTGGAGGATCCTTCAAAAGAATGGCTTCTAAAACCAATTTGGGAGCTGTAATCCCAGCAGATCTGGAGGCTGAGGCAGGAGAATTGAAAGTTGAAAGCCAGCCTCAGCAATTTAGCAAGGCCCTATAGCAATTTAGCAAGACCCTGTCTCTAAATAGAATATAAAAAGGGCTGGGGATGTGCTCAGTGGTTAAACGCCCCTGGGTTCATTCCCTGGTACCAAAAAAAAAAAAAAAAAAAAAAGAAAGAAAGAAAAGAAAAAAAAAGATGGGGGGAGGAGAATTTCTTGTTTCTTTTTTTTTTAAGAAAGAGAATTTTAATATTTATTTATTTTTTAGTTTTCGGCACACACAACATCTTTGTATGTGGTGCTGAGGATCGAACCTGGGCCGCATGCAAGCCAAGCGAGCACGCTACCACTTGAGCCACATCCCCAGCCCTTGTTTCTTGTTTTGAAAAAGAAATTATATTCTTGCACAAAATCAGTATTGTGTTTTTTCACACAACAGTTACTTATATATAGTCACCTACACATACAGTGAAACACTTTAAAACAATTCTTCTATTTGCATCTAACCAAATGCTGCTCATAGCTTGATATTAGCTCTAGAAGAAAAAAAGAAACAATCTTAAGAGAGCAATGGAAACATGAGTTCTTTGGCAGCAGTCTCTATCCCTGAATGCATGGTGAGTTCTGAGGCTACCAGCTCTGGGGTAAAACATCTTTGTGATTAATAATATATTTGATAATGAGCAGGAGGAAAAAATATGCTTTCCACTGAAGGATTTAAAATGAAATAGAGTAAGCTGGGAAGATTGCTGAGTGTAGAGGACATGTTTCGCATCTTGCAGGGAGCGGGAGCTGGAAGAGCGGGGCTTGTTTGTCTTGGATTCTCATTTCCTCAGCGCTGGTCTGTGGCATATAGTTTCTGGTCTCCTTTGAATACTCACTTTCAAAAGGACTTAGTCCTCAGACTCCATGGCACTGGGAGATTTACTTGTGCTATCTCATTTAACCTTTTCAACCCCACCAATAAGCAGGTATGAGGGTCCCCATTTTATAAATGATTCAGGTGAGACTCAAGAAGGCTAAGGAACTCCTCCAGAGCTGAGCTGGCGACTGAGTCAGTGTAAATTAAATCAACAACCAGGGGTTTCAGAACAAATGTCTGAGATACTCTTGAGAACAGCCTGCTTTGAGCTGCTTCAAGCATCTGGCTTGCTGGGTGACCTAGACTTTAAAAGGAGCTCAGCTCCAGCTTCTGACCAAATAAAGCATCTATCCCTCGGGAATAGTAAGGCATCCGTTTCCTTTTTCCCTCCTCATTATCCCGTTCGTCCCTTAAGCAGTCTGGGTGTTCGGCAGGTGCTAGAGAGTAAATTATTGTTCTAAATGGTGCCTCAGTGGCCCAATAATAACAAGGAAGCCGCTCCAACGGATGGTATCACTCTGTAGACAAGAGCATAATTAATGCGTTTATTAAAGCCGACGGATCCGGGGGAGTTGAAGCCCTGCCCAGAGCAGGCAGCCCTTTTCTGCTGGAGTTGAGGGCTGGGCTCTGGAACTTCCTAGCTGACTGTTGTGCTGCGTTTTAGGTTTTCGGTCTGTTTTCTCTTTTCGTAGCGGCTGCACGGTTGGCTTCAACTCCCCCCACCCCCAGACCCATGCGTCGGGGACGCCGGAGGCTGGGGACAGGCAGAAAAGCGGGGCGCGGCAGGGGACGGGGGGAGGCGCCCTGGTGGCCTGGGAGCAGGCCTCGGGTCCGGGGGGAGGCGGCCGCGTCGTAACTCGGTTTACACCACCGCCCCCCACCTCC